GTGACACCTGTTTCACAAGTATGAATACTGACACCCGGACACTCTAATACCTTTGTCCAGATCATGGAGAGAGTGAGCAGTGTTGCTGGACAGCAAAGCCGAGTCTGTCGGACTCGAATCCATACTCCAAACCTCGTGGCTCTACCTTCGGGGAGCCCCATCCCCACACATCTCGGGGTGCTGCTTGGGAAATTACTAGACTGATGGAAAAGACACTGTGCAGCCTTAAATGGTCGCTCGCTGAGGACACTAATTTGCAAGGACAGTCATGAGGACAGGGCAGGGATAAGGTCGTGACAGAGGCCGAGGGCTTGCCTTCTGCCCCCACAGTCCCGCCTTCTACTGAAACTACAGCCACGTAGTTTGAGGCCACATCAGACCTGTACACAGCCTGCTCCTTCCAGAGGACAGGGATGCTGCAGGCCACGCTGGAACACGGCCTCCTGTTGATGCCTTCCTCCCTTCTAGCTCTGGAATCAAGAAGGAAAGGACCTAGAGACCTTCAGGGCCAACGCGTCCTCTACTTCCGGTGTGACACGTGGAGAAACTGAGGCCCAAAGGAGAAAAGCAGCTCTTCCACGGTATCACAGGGACGGTGAAGAGGTGAGATCCTGTCTCCCAGGTCAGAACTGGAGGCATGTCTCTTGGGTGCTGTCCCCATACAGCACCTTATCTTATCTGTCCCTTCACCACTCTCCCTGCTCCCCTACCTACTTCCTGCTTCCCTTTTCCAGCTGTGCTCAGCAGGCCCAGTGTCTGAACCCTCCCTTGCACAGCCTCCCTCTCATTCTCACATCTGTTCTGAGCCTCACCACCTCTCACCCCCTTTCCCTCCACTCCTCTGGGCCAAGGAGCAATTCTTGGGTGGTTTAATTAGCTGATTATGACCTCAGCCCTGCTGGATGCTGTGCCCAGAACTCTGTCCCCAGTAATTAGGTGGGTTCTGGGTACTTGCCCAGTGGAAGCCGATGGGGAGTTCTGTGCCCTCCAGCTGCATAAAGAGCTCCTTGATCACTAGTGGGTCATGGGAAGCCATGGTCCCCTCCTCATGCCAGGTCAAACCACATTGGGTGTACTGTAGCCAGATCCAGATGTCCATCCTAACGAGGAACTGCCCATTCTCCCGTACCACTGCCCAGACCCAGAAGAGGCTCAGGGATGTCTGAGGCTGGGGATGGGGAAGTTAGCCCACTCTCTGGGGCCAGGAAAGGATGGCTCCATGGCTAGGGAACTTATTTAGGAAGTAGGATTTGGATAAACAGAGACAAGTGAGGATGGCATTCTAGATGGGGGGTGGGGGGGGCGGCAGGAGCAAAGGTATGGTGGCTGCAGTGAGTCACCAATCCCCTCGCCTGGTAGCTCTGGCTGTCGGGAAACATTCTCCTAGCAAGGTAAAGCCCATCATCTAGTGACCTCCGCCCTTTGGGTCACAAAGAATAATCTAATGCCTGTGACTCTGGACCACCTTTACACATTCCAAATCATCAGTGATGTCCCATTGTTTACACCAACCAACTCCAGGTATATCTTTTTCCAGTGAAATACCTATATTAAGCCTCCTTCACTAAACAAATATTTATGGAGCTCAGTGCCATGCCAAGTCTGCGCAGGTGCTAGGGACAACAGACCCAGCCTAGGTGCCCTTGGCCTCACAGAGAGGACATCGCAAGTGTGCAAAAAATGAACTCACACAGAGAGGGTGGGACCAGTGCCAGAGAGAGAGAATGGCACAGAAGGCCACAAGGCACTTGGAGATCAGTGAGGGCTTCCCAGAAGAGGTGGCCACCTATGATCCAGACCTCAAAGGACAGAAGGGCATTGGGCATTTTGTGGGGTCAGGGCATCACCCTTGTACTGAGGGCCAATGGTAAAACAGCTTGTGCTGAGCCTTTTGGAGCCTCAAAAGTGAAGCAAAGAGGGTCCCTCACTGGGGAGGGAGGCAGACCCAGTAAGAGGTCATCCAGGAGCCTCAATAACACAGCCCTTGTGCCCGGGACGGTCTCTGCACTTTACCTATTTTAACTCATTTCATCCTTTCAGCAATCTGCAGCACAGGCACTATTACTACCCCATTTTACAGATGAGGGAGCTGCAGCAGAGAAAGGGTTAAATCACTGGGGCAGGTCACCCAGCTGGTAAGTGGCAGAACTGGCATTTAAAACCAGGAAATCTGGTTTTTGCTAGAGCCTACCCCATATTCTAATCAGCCTCTAATCTATGCTAATCAGATCACAGAGGAGGCTGTGGACGTCCAGAGGAGGGTGTCCGTGAGGAGGAAACAGCCTGGGCGGAGAGAGTGAACCGGTCCAGGACCTGCGGGTTACTAAGGTGCTTTGAGAGGTGCTGAGGCAAGAACTTGTGGGAGAAAGCACAACCCAAAACCCAGGCCCAGCTCCCTGGCAATCCCAGCTTCCTGATCTGTGACAGAGGCTTGAGCTGCGCACCCCAACTTCTCGTCCTCCAGAAGAAAGGTCACCCCAAACATGCTAACAGAACACAGGAAAGGGGTGACTCAGCCAGGATGGCCTTACACATGCTGGCTGATTTGATTTCCATAGGAACAGCAAGACCCAGAGAGGATAAATGTCATGCCCAATGTCACACAGCAGAGTAAGCATTAGAGCTCACCTCTGGGACCCTCCTGAGATGGTACATCCCAGCTGTCCACTCCCTACTCTTTCCCCTTGTCCTCTGCCAAAACACCGATGCCCATTGGTTGCACAGGCTGGGAGAAGGGGATGAAGCTGCAAAAGGACACAGCATGCCCCTTCTCTCTCTGAGCACCAGTAGAGGCCCAGGGCCAGAATGGGAGGGACCTCCTCCCTCATCCAGTTCCTGGGCCGCTGGGTCCACCCAGAGAGAGAAGCTACACCCTGCATGGCCACTGAACAGCTCAGCGTGCAGAGTCCTGCCTCCCTCGGCCTGCCACAGCCATAGCACCCCACCTTGCTCCACGCTCTTCAGACCAACACATAGATCCCTCTCCATGTACGCGGACCCCACGGACCCCACGAGTGGCTGTGGTCTCAGCCAGGCCCAGCCCAGACTTAGGCAGAGGGAGAGCTGCTCAACCGCTGTGATGACTTCAGTCGTATAGAACTCCAGGGACCTGTCTGGTCCAGTCCCTGGGCCTTGGCCTCCTGGGGGCCTTGCCTGGCATCAAGTCTCCTGGGAAGGAACAAGCAGTTCCTCTAAAGTGGGACTAAAGATGGGCCAGTCACAGGAAGGAGGAGGCCCGTTTCCAGAGAGATGACCCTGCCAGAGCCCCTTGGGGGATTGGGAGGGGGTTGGGACAACAGAGTCCTTTGTTCCCCTCTCGAGGCAGCCATCCTGTCCTGCCCCACCCCCTCTGTTCTACATACCCTACTAGGACACAAGCCACCCCTGGGGCAAGATCTCTCTGGCACAGGGAGGGAGGGTGCTGGGAACCATGAGAGATAATACCAGTTCTAATCCCGGGGATTGTGCTGGAGACACATCCCACCCTCAGGACCCCCTGTTCTGGTGTAAGGTGCATGGTTCCCACCTTCAGAAATCTGCCTCATGGGGGAGAAACAGGCTTCACTCATAAGAACCCCATTCTAATAGAGGTGATACATCCCCTCCCTGCGGACTCTCCGATCTGATGGAGAAGATCCCCCAGCACCCCGTCTAGCGTGGAAAGCATGGCTTCCATGCTTAGGATTCCCCAGAGGGGAAGACCTAATTTCAGCACTGAGGGAGTTCCTAGGCTGAGAGCAGAGGCAAGAAGGGAGGAAGAAGTGCAGCCCAGTCAATAAATCCCTGCCAGACAGCTCCCGTAGACCAGACCAGCCAACAGGAAACAGAAATAACGTGGAACCTCACCAATAACATGGAGCTCACCAGGTGGGGAACAGAGACACCTGGGGTATAAATAAATGAATGAGAAAGTGTCTTAAAACCTATCGACCCAGCACCCAAGGCCCTCTCACCAGAGCTACCGGCTCCATCGGCAGCCTCACCCCTCAAACGCTTGCACCTGCACCCACTATCTGCACCTTGGCACAGTCTCTTCCTTCTTTTTTATTTTATCTTTTTTTAATCCTCACCCGAGGTTATTTTTCCATTTATTTTCAGACAGAGTGAGAGGGAGAGATAGAGAGAGAGAGAGAAACACCAATGTGAGAGAGACATAGACTGGTTGATTGGTTGGTTGCCTCCCGCATGACTCCGACCAGGAACAGGGCCTGAGCCGCAACCAAGGTAGGTGCCCTTGACTGGAATCGAACCCATGACTCTTTGGTCCATGGGCTGACACTCTAACTACTGAGCCAAACTGGCCAGGGCTAGGTTCTTCCTTCTGTCTAGACTACCTAAGCCTTCCTTATGCCCAGGACCCAGCTCAGAGGGCACCTCCTCCAGGAAGCCTTCCCCAAGACCCCTAGATGCCCTTCTTTTAGGAGTCAGCACAGACATGCCTCCCCTGGGACCAGCTCACACACCAGAAATGTCCCTCCTGGCCCTCAGCTGAGTCTTACACCCCAGGTCCCCACAGCCCTCTGGGCTCACCCCACTGCCCAGGGCCTCACACTCTTCCTCCAAGAGGCTCACCCCAGCTCCAGGCACAAAGAACAACAGGGTCTCCCCCCTTCTCCTCTGCACCTGGACCTGGCTTTGTCCTCACCACTCCAACAAAACCCCCTCACCAGTCAACAGCAAGTGCTTTCTGGCTAAATCCCAGGGGTCTTTTCCCCAGCTCATCTTCTGTTGGTCCTTCCCTGCTGCTTCGGCACCCAGGACACACCCTCCCCTGGGTCCTCCTTCCTCTCTCCACCTTCAGCCATGGCCATCGGTGCTCTCCAAGGCCCCAGCTGTCCCTCACTATCCTCTCTTCATAGGCCACACCTTCTCTCTGCACCATGCTACCCACCCTCCCCATGTCAACTACCATCTCTAAACCCAAGACTTTCAAATCCCCACCTCCCACCTATATCCCTGCAACCCCAGGTCCCGATCCCTCTGTGCAGAAGTATCCCTACATCTTCCTCAACTTCCAGGCTGGCTCCTTGTCAAGCTGCTCCCTCTTGCAGGCCTCATTATATGGTCAATATGGTCCTGCTGGCAGCAGTTCCAGAAGCCACTCAGGGCATGCTGACCCCAAGCCTGGTCTTCTGTTGCCACAGCTCTGAGGTGTGGTCAGCCCATGACTCAGGAACCCTGAACCCATGCTTCAGTGTCATGCAAGAAGGCCCAAACTTGGAGGGAAGACAGCCATGGAGAATTCTGAAGCCCAGAGGCTGGCCTAGAATTGGGGATCATGGACGGTAGGTCAGGCTCAACACTTCTGTTTTCAGTAGCCCCACAAGTGACCCTGACCAAAGCCACAGGATTTCCCCATGTTCTAGCCAAGATGAGTTGCACAGAACTTAACCACCAAGAGAGAAAACAGCCAAGCTCACAGACAGCTGGTGATTACACACCCTCATCATACCCGCCCTTCCCCCGACCAAAAAAGAAGATTTCATAAACATCTGAAGGAAAAGAAAATTCATTCCATCCCACTGCTTCTCAGGAAGTCCCTCCTATTGTCTAACTCTGATCCTTCATGTTGCCAGTTGAATTAGTAGAAACAGCAAAGAACCAGAAGGGAGGCACAATTTGAGGGTTACCAGGGAGGTGGGGGAGTCTAACTAGGAGCCAGACAAGCCCCCTCCCTCTGAGGGAAAGTACAGAACAGCAGCAGGACTTTGTGGGCAGACAGGCCTGGATTCAGAAGTTCACTGGCTAAGTGGCAGTGGACAAATTATTTAATCTTTCCTAGCGTGTTGCCCCATCTGTGAAATGGGAAGAGCAGTCCCTACATTCATAGGATCACTGGGAGAACCAAATGAGATCGTGCGCGTAACTCCTGACGCGTACCAGATACACAACCAGTCGGCAAAATGGCTCCGCCTTCTTATTCCTGTGTCTCAGTTCCATCCTCTCCACAGCCTTCACTCAGAGCTCCCCTTCTCTCAGGCTCCTCCTCAGCCTCCTCACTGGTCTTGCTTCCAGGCCTGCTCTTCCCAGCCACCCTTCCTGCCACTGCCAAAGGCCCCCCTCTGAAATGAAAGTCTGCTCCCATCCCTCCCCTCCTCACACTCTTCCCCGAATCACCTTCCACTCAGAGAAAAGCCTCTCTCCTTGGCTTGACATTCCAGGCTGTTGATGACTGGCCTGTTGAGCGCTTAAGGCTCAGCCAGCATCCCCGGTCCACAGGCTGCACGTGTGGCTTCACGCTTCCAAGCCTTTGCACACTCTGCACCCTGGGCCAGGAATGACATCCCAATCCCACCCCTCGGCCTCCTGATCCTTCCAGGTGAAACCCAGTAGCCCCAATGCCACCTCCTTCCCAGGAGAGCGACCCTCACCATGCCCCCTGCCAGGACTGGGTTGGGGACTCCTTAGCCTCCCACAGCACATGTCACCCTGCATTATAATCACCTGCACTGCTCTAAATCCTTTGGGGACTTGGATTTAGAGTGGAGCCATTCATCTTGAACCCCCAGCCCTGGCATTCAGTCAACATTTGTCAAAAGGATGTCGGATTGCTCCCAGAGCACCCTGTTAGAGCAGCTGCCTACCTGCCTGTAAGGAGTCCTATCCAGGTATTTGTCTTTCCCCTTGACCCCGAAGTTCCTAGAGGGGAGTGACCGTTTCTGACTAATTCCCATTGTCATTTTCATATGGGGGATGCAAATCCAGGCTCAGGGATGGATGTGGTGACTACTGATCCTTAGACTACTGGATATTTGCTGTCTCCTCTTCTAAGGCCAAGATAAAGCAGAGTCCCACTGCTTATGGAACAAGGCAAGGTATTGGCCTTGCCCTTCTCTTCCAAATTACTCAGGAAACCTGCCTGGAAGGGAGGGGGCAGCCAACTGGGGCTGCAGGAAAGACGGAGAGGGGAGCAGGGCTATCGTTGGGTGGAGTGTAGCTAGGCCTGGGCTCCAGGCTTCAGGAAGCACCTCCTACCCTGTCCTGTGAATTCAGTAAACACAACAAGAACCCTCCAAATTTTAAAGAATTCATAGCTCCAATTTACAAGTGGGAAAACCAAGGTTAAGAAAGGTGAAGACAATTGCCCAAGGTCTCCAAGGTCCCCCAGTGAGTTAGAGGCAGAGCAGAAGGAGTCACGGAAAAGGTCCTGCCTCCAAGGATAGGGTCTCCAAGAGATGCCTGGCTGCTCATGGTGTCCTCATCCTGATGACAACCCCGGGCAGCAGGAGACCAATGACACTCCTCCCCAAGTCACAGAGAAGCAAGCCAAGGCTCAAGAGGGGCTGAGTCACCCTGATGGCAAAGCAGCAGAAGAAGAATGAAGGAGAAGAACAAAGGCTCCTGACTTTCTCAAGGAGAAAAGTCTGACCTCAATGGTCAGAAGGATCTTGGCTTTAGGGGACATGGATATGGAAGAGAGAGTCACACATCCTCCTGCTGAGGACAGAGACCTGGGTCACAGTGCTGGCCAGGCTGTAATGGGGACTAGCCATCGGAGTACGTGCAGACATCTCATAATCTTTTGAAACCTCCCCCACCAGCCTGGGCCTCCACACACAGAGCAGGGCACCCCCCCCTGGCCTCCCACCCAGGATCCTCCAGGGCATGGCAGTGCCCAATAGCAAGTCACAGAGAAATGGGACCTGGTGGGCTCCAGTCCGGGCCCTGCCTCTGACCTCTCCTTAAGCAAGCCAGGTAACCTCTCTGAGCGCTGACTTCTCTTCCAGAAAACGGGAAGAGGAAAGTTAGCCTCTCTGGAGAGCTGTCAGGAGGATGGCTGGGAAGCAGTTTCTGAATCTTAGGCGCACCAGTTAGTTACCTCTGAGCCTCAATTTTTTTTTTTTTTCTGGAATATGTTGATAATCTCTGGAGTACCTCTTTCATGCTGTTGAGAGAGTGTGTCAGACGAAAGTGGGTGTACAACAGCCCTGTCAGTGGTCCCGGAGCACGATGGCCACTGAGGTCATCTCTCCCTAGTCTAGTAGCTCCTGCAGCACACATCTTTGATCCCCACACTATGCCTAGCCCTCAGCAGGTGCTCGATAAATAACTACTGAAAGCAAGGAGAGAGGGGGGGGTGGAGAGAGGGAAGAGAGGAGGAAGGAGTGGAGCACAAGGACAAGAGAGAGCAAAGAGAAAAAAATGCAAGAGGGGTTGCAGAAGGAGTAAGAGGAGGAGATAAGGGAGAAGCTTTTATCAGAACTTAAGGAAGTGGTCAGACTGCAGGGGCAGACTAGGATGACAAAGCCGAGCACCTGGCCAGGGCTGTCCACTGGGGCCACCCTTCCCCAGCTCCAGCCCCCTCCCCTGTTTTGTCCCAGTTTTCCACTTCAGAGGCACATCCCCTCTCTTTCTGAGTCAGGGCAGGCTCCTCAGAGAGAGAAGTCTCTTCCCACCCCCCAGCTCAAAACAGATCCTGGCCAGCCACCCAGGCCTCAGGGAGGTCAGAGGGAGAGGAAATAGAGTGGATACGATTCTATTTTCTCAGGCTGCAGGCTGGCCTCCCACTGTGTGATATGTGTCTCCACTTCTCTCCAAGTGGCAACTAGAGTCAGTGTGTCAGCAGCCCCAGGGTCTGTCAACTTGTGACCATGGAGTGCCAGCCTGCGCGGGCATTAGTCTGCTTTGTGTCTGGTGGGTCAGTGTTGGTTTGGTCTTGCGAACACCATGTTAGTGAGATATGTGCCAGCACAAGCGGTCATGTTAGGAGGGGGGACAACATGTGTTTGCCAGTAAGAGTGTTTGTTACAGTGAGCAAAAGTGACTGTGTGTGTGTGTGTACATTGTAGCCAACATGTGTGTGCCAGCATTAAGATGTGTTAGAGTTGATGTGTTTGGTGTGTGACCTGTGTATGCCAACATGACTGTCAGCAAGAATGTGTTGACAAGTGTGTACCATTGTGTGTGACAGTGTCACTGTATGTGATCAGTGTGTGGCAGTGAATGTCAGCGAGTGTGTGCCAGCATGAGCGTGCCCATGGATGAGTGTGCCTGTGTCCACATGAGGGTGTGTGTCACTGTGTGTCAGCCTGCCCCCGTGGGTCTCTGTGTCTGCTAGCCAGTGCTGGGTGTCAGGGAGTGAGTGTGTTTGCGTGTGTCTCTCTACCGAGGAGCCATGAAGCAGACGGGGCAGCTGGGTCCTCGTCTTTGCGTACCCCCGCCCACAGCCCTGCCACTGACTACACGGGAAACCTCGGGGACAGAGGGGAACTCAGTGCCGCTGAGCCGGGCGTTGGCGGTCCTGGGATGACCGTGAACGCAGAGCCTGGGAGCGGACTAGAACCCCTGCCTGTGCACTCGCCCAGGTCAGCCCCATGCGCACTGGGCCCGACCGCCTCCCGCACTCACCGTGTCCCTTTGTCGCCCATGGTCCGCGGCGGCCGCAGGGAAGTCCGCGGGGTAAGCGCCCAGGCTGGAAAATCCCCGGCCGGCAGGAGGAGCGCGGGCCAGCCGGCTCCCGGTTCCCTGCTCCGCCTCCTCCGCTCTCGGGCCTCCGCCGCCGCCGCCCCCGCCTCCGTTCGGATCACCGCCCGCCGAACCGCCGGCCGCGCTGCACAGCACCCAGGCCGCAGCCAGGGGCGTGGAGCAGTGCGGGGAGTGTGCGTGTGTCTGTGCCTGTGTCTGTGTGTGCGCGCGTGTCTGGGTGTGCGCGCGCCTCCCAGCCGCCGCCAGGCCAGGGCGGGTGGAGGCGTCAGGGCCCGCAGGGCATTTGGGGGTCCACACGGGTGCGTGTCCAGATGTGTGTGTTATGTACGTGAGGGCGCACGCCGGGGTGGCTATACGTGCGCGTGTGTGCAGGCGAGAGTGCTGCACGCCGTGTGCGCGGGCCGAGAAGGAATGTATGTGTGCAGATTGAGCGGTGTGCGCGTCTTTCTGCAGCTGTGCGTGTGTAGGCGCGCTCCCCGCGCACCCGGAGGGCAGCCTTTGTGTCTTCGGAAGGTGAAAGCCGAGGGTCTGCCCACCCCAAGGCCGAGTTCCGGTTGGCGCCACTGTGGGGTAGGGATGGAGGTCGGTGGGAGACTGGGTAACTGGCAAGGCCGGCACCCTCAGTTCCACCCTCCCCCCAACCCAACTCCCCACCCTCTGGAGAGATAACACTCAACAACCCAACAGAGACAGGAAACAGGGTGGAGGGGGCCGGAGAAGACAGCGACGCTGGGGAACTGATGAAAGTGGGAGGGGAACCGGAGGGAGCGGGGGCAGCGGTAGTGGCTGCCCGAAAAGAGGAAACAGTGAGAGAGGAGATAAGGAAGAGGGCAAAGAGCTGGCCCGCTGCGCCTGGGAGTATGGCCTGGTGATGGCCCAGCTCCACAGGCTGCTGTGGGTGCCCCAGGGTATCAGCCCTCTCAGAACCAGTCTCCAGACATGTAAAGTGGGAGACTAATACCAGCTTGCAGAACTGGTCATAGGTGTTTGCTGGTCTCCCCTGAGTGCCTGACACACAGTAAGTGCCTAGTAGATATTAACCCATCCGCCTGCAGGCCCCATGGTGTCTGAAATCCTGGTTGGAACCTGGCTTTGTCTGAGGTTACTCCTGCTTTGCAGGTAGAAGGAGAGTGTAAGGTCTTTGCTGGGCTTGGCTCACTGGCCCTGATAGGTGTCTAATATCGGAGTATTAGTGGGAGGAAAGGAAGCTATCATCTACTCTGATGTGATTGTGGGTCTGTAAACATCTCCTGTAATTATACTCAGAAACAGATACCTATGCTGGCTGTATATATGTAGTCAGGTAAGTATATCTCAGTAGAATTACTATCATTATATCCAGAGGGCAGGTGCTTGGGGGGTTGGCGGACCAATAGGCAGGCAGAGTGGCCCAGGGTCTGGACAGCGTTCAGAGCTAAGGCTTAGAAACTCTCCACCTGGCCTTGGTCTCTGGGCTTCACCCTCACTCCAGCAGGGAAAGGAGAGGAAGCCACCTGCTGTTTCCACGAAGGTCAGGGATCTTGAGAGGAACACACCTGAGTTGTGAGTGATGAGAGGAGGCTCACTGTGTGAGCCAGAGAGGACCCTGACCAGGATGGAGAGGCCAGGCCCTGCCACTCTCTGCACCAGCTTCCCCACCTAGAAGACAGGAGTGCAACCAAGCGATGTGATCTCCATTCAGGGAACCTCTGCCAGCACAGAGCTCTTCCCAGACCAGTTTGGAAAGCATGGCTCTAACTTTCTTGGGACACTGAACAGATTGGTAGCCCGTGGAGTCAACATGCAGGATTTCAAGTGCATTCCTGCTAGCCTATAAACTTTATGAGGGGGCGTTTGGTGTGCCTGGCACTGCTTGATGCTCACAGTTCTATGAGATAAATCTTCTTTCCCCTTTTTATACATGAGCAAACTGACACCCGGAGAAGCTAAGTAGTTTGCTGAAAGCCATAAGTTCCTGGGGACCTTGGCCTCTGACCTCCCCTCCAAGGCCCTCCCCAAAGGAAGCTAATATATATTAGAGCCAGAACTTGGCCCTTGATTTACTCCTCATTCAATAACTGTTTGCTGAATGTGCCATACATGGTTCTAGAAACTTACAGTGATCAATAGGACAAGCGGAGCTGTCATTCCAGTGAGGGGTCTAGCACGTGGTAAGAGCAGTGAAGGTGGTACGTTTGCCACACCTGTCAGGAATACAACGTTGTCATGTACTCCTCGAGTAATTACAATCAATAAAAATGTAAAAGTAATAATCTTGAGGAGACCTCTATAAATATAAACAATCTAATTTCTGGCAGTAATAAGTGTTATGAAGGAAATAAAACGACGGTCAAGGCATAATGGGGGCAAGTGTACTTAGAAAAAAGCTCTTCAAGAAAATGACCTGTGGCTGAGACCTGCAGGTAAGGAGCCAGTGCTGTGCGGTGTGTGGGGTGAGCCGGGGGAGAGCTACCCAGGCCGAGGGAGCAGCAAGTACAGAAGCCGGGCCTTTCAGAAGCCCAGGAACAGGGTGCCTGGGTTTGGGTGACGGGGAAGGAGTGGTGGAGATCATGCAGTGCTTGTGATTGGGGCTGAGGAGTTTGGGGAGCCAGTGGAGGACCTAGGAGATGAGTAACAGTGACTGCTTTACGTTTTCAAAGGTCACGCTAGCTGTTGGAAGGAGATGTCTTGGAGCAAGACAAGAGCAGAAGCAGGACATTCCATTATTGCAGTAGGCAAGGGAGAGCAGATAATGGTTTAGACTAGGGTGGTAGTGGCAGAAATGAAAAAATAAAGGGCTTAATATGTATTTGGAGATAGAGCCAACAGTACCTGCTGAGGGACCGACTGTGGACAGTGGAGGATCCAGGCTTACTCTGAGGCGCGGGGCAGGTCTGTTTGTTCCACCCTCCATGCAGCCACCGCCCCACGCATTTCTCCAGGGCACTGATGGTTGAGAGGCCCAGAGTCTCCGTCTTCTGTGTCTCAACCCATTTGTAATACATCCTCCTCCTGAAAAGCAGAGTGACTTTTCCAAAGAGGCAAATAGATTCGACTACTGAGGCTCACAGGAGATGGTCATCTCCAAATAGGGCCCAGCTTGGGCCAGTCACATGTTTGAATATTTACCACTCACAATAATAATTCTTTACCAAAAGATAGAGAGAAAGGAAGTATTATTCCTGCTGTATAGATGAGAAAAGAAAGGCTCTTTAAGGGAAAGTGCCGAAGCCAAGGACATAGCAAATAAAAGGTAGAGCTGCAGCTCAAACCTAAAGCCTCTGCTTGGTTGGTCAGGTAGTTGAATGTCAGATTGAAGTGTGAGTGGGTGGGTGGGTGGGTGAATGAGTTTTCAGCTCCCTGTTCAACACAGGATGAGAGGCTGACTGGTGCATGCCTTGGTGATGTCAAAAGTTAGTATCCCTACCTCTATCCAAACCAGAAATCTGGGTGTGATCCTTGATTCCTCCTTTGATCCCCTCAGTCCTTGTCAAGCCATCCTGGACATCTGCCTCTTAGATGTCTCCCTATCTGGGGCATCATGTTAAGGAATTTGATCTTTATCCAAAGGTCAGTAAAGAAGTTTTAACAGATTATAAGTAGAGCGGTGACATGTTCAGACCTGCGGGATTTGTTTGGGAGAGAGAGAGAGAAAAATGTCTATTGGCTGCCTCCTGCATGCCACCTACTGGGGAATGAGCCTGCAACCTGGGTATATGCCCTGACCAGGAATCCAACCAGCAACTTCTCATTGCACAGGATCATGCTCTACCAACTGAGTCACACTGGCCAGGGCGACATGTGTTTTAAAAAGATGGCTCTGGCCCAGTCAGTGTGGCTCAGTGGTTGAGCATTGACCCATACACCAGGAGGTTGCTGGTTCAATTCCCAGTCAGGGCACATGCCCAGGTTGTGGGCCCAATCCCCAGTGGGAGGCATGCAGGAGGCGTCCAATTAATGTTCTCTCTCATCGATGTTTCTATCTATTTCTCCCTCTCCCTTCCTTTCTCTCTAAAAATCAATGAAGAAAAAACAAACAAAAAAAGATGGCTCGGCTTTTATGTGAAGAATGAATTGGACATGGGCCAGAGGGGATGCAGAGAGCGAGACCAGTTAGGAGGCAGTGTCTGCAGTTTAGGGGAGGAATGGCAACTGCATTCCAGCGACAGGACATTCAACAGCTGCAAAGCCAGGGAGGAAGGAAAGGACAAGATATTTTCGAGGGATTTAGATGGATCTGTGGCCAGAGCACAGAGAGGGGAGAGGAGGGACTGAAAAGGAAGAGCGGCCATATCCTGAGGAAGCAGCTCACAGATGAGTCAGCTCCCAATATGTTTTATATCTGTCTATCAAGATTTCTTTGTGATGAGATTACTAGTATTTAACTATCACTAAGTGGACAATTGAAGGTTCTCGTTTGTAATCAGCAAAACCAATTCTGGCTGACTTAAATAGACAAAGAACTTACTGACAGGATATTCAGATAGCTGCTACTGATGAATAAAGAACACCGCAAATCACACCCTCACTATCCTCAGCCCTAAGCCTAGCCCCAGAAGCTCGATATGGCCACTGCCACCTCTAACCAGAAAGGATTCTTTGCTGGTCCTACATCTTTGAGCCAAAGTCCCCCATGCACCTGATTGGCTGTGCCTGGTCGTGTACCCTTGTCCCGAGGTCATGTGACTGTGCCCTTGCTGCCAGAACCCAGAAATTGTGTTGTTGGTATTTGTGATTTCCATACTGGGAAACAGGCTTTAACTTATTCCAAGAACCTTAGAGTGAAGAATTCCCCAGACATAAGAAGAGAGTTTAGAGGCTGAGTAGCCAAAAAATATAAATATCCACTTCACTGTGAAATGCAGTAAAGTGAGCCACAGTAAGAACTCACAGCCAGGAGA